ATCAAATTTGGGGGTGGAGAGAATAGAAAAAAAAAGATATTAATTACTTGGTTCACCTACGACAGAACCTACAGTGACCTCTTGTGGTAAATACTAACGCCAAAACTTTGGTGAAGCATACAACCTTTTCCTAGGCTACACTCTGGAGATTGTGGAAGCATTGTCCCTCCAAGCTAAGAAACAGCTGTTATTCACAAGGAAAGTAAAAGGTAAACATTGAATAAACTAAAAGGTTTCTTTAGGAAATCTACTCAGTCACTGTCAATTAAAATAATAGCTGCTCTTTTCTATTTAAAAATAATGTTTTTATATGGTTCTTTTAGTAGGTCAGTTAAAAGATGTCTAGGTAGATAAACGTCTTACACATCTTACTTCTAGAATCAAGCAAAAGATAGACAAATATGGAAATTTCTAGTGAACACAGTAGTGTCTTGAAATGAGCAGCCCGCTAGTCAGCAACATGCTGCATTCATTATATAATGCGGTGTGGGCTCTAAAGCAAGAAACGATCCTGTGGCTTATTTATAAACACAATTTAGGAAGTGGTTAGTATAATTTCAACCTCTTTGATATTTTAGATATCAAAGTGGTACAATATAAGACTTGGGTAAACCAATGCTTCAAAAACACTATGTGGTTTATTAGTATTTCCTGAATAGTGTCTTAGGTGTTAAAGAAAATCTCTTAAGAAAAAAGTCAACAACTTTTAAGAAAAAGGTAAACAAAAAAAACTCCACAATTTTTTTAATTGGATAATACTTAAAAGTTATTGTTCCTTTTTTGTTTTGTTTTTAGATCACTACTTCTTTGTTTCCTCTATTATATGTTCCCTTTAGTCTCCAAAGAGAAAAACACTTCTAACTTTCCATAAAATTTTTAAAAACATAATTATAACTATAATTTTTTATAAAGCTTAAATACTAAATAGTTAATTTCTAATAAAGATTAACTTGTCATTATAATTTTTCAAAAAAGCAACCTAGTTTGCTGTCACCCAAACTCATCATTTCTACCTATTTTCTAAGGAATTGAAGGCATACGAATAAGATAGGTTACCCAAAAACATAATTAGATTGAAGGTATTTACTTTTTTTTTCTTTTGAACCTGGAATTCTACCTAAAAGTCCTAAAAACAGTTACTTTCTTCCAGGTACTTAACCTCTACCAACAAGTTTACTGCTCCCTACAGCTCAATTTATATTGATAATAGCTGGCCTAAATAATTGAGATTTACATAAAGGAAGATATCTTAATAATATTCCAGACACAAATCTAATCAGTAAGCCTGTGGGGCAGGAGCCTTCTAGGAGAATTTACTCAGATGTAATAAACTCACCATAGTCCTCAAACACTCCCTTCCTAACAGCTTATTTGGATCCTTCTAGCCAAACATGTAGGTAAACATTCTTATTGCATTTACACTTTTGACCTTTAAAACTTTCGGAGTAATAACGTGCTCTCTGTATTTTACTAGAATCATATACTATGAATTATTGTAATTTCTTCTGTCCAAAAATGATCTTGCCGTTTATCTCGAAACTAACAAGAGGAACTCCCTCCTTTTACTTTGAGGTATTATGTGAATCCAACCTCTACTCAATGGTCCTCATTATCTTATTTTATAGACTTTGAATCACCAGTAACAACTTGCAATGCCTTTCCATAACAGACTGAGTCAACTAAACAAGGAAAATAAAAATCCAATTTCAAGAGGTGTAAAATCACAGCAAATAGGCTCTAGTTGCTACTCTAGAGCACAGAAGACAGCATTCGTCATTCTGGGAAATTGCACCTGAGGAGTTTGGAACTTTATTAGGAAGCCCTCAGGTTTAAAAGCTACGTGTCACACTTCTTGGTCTTTGTTTCTACATCATTAAAAAGTGTTGTGATGAAATTCTAAGTGGCTGAAATTCCACTTCATTAGTGATAGCGGTGAACAAATAAATGTCTGATGTTTTCTCTTTGTGTCCAACTCTCTTTCAGATTCCTTCTCATTATCTCTCTCCCTCCCTCTCTCTCCCTCCATCCTTTTTGTTTTTATTTCCAGAATTTTTTTATTTTTCTTCATCTCTCATTTCCTCTTTCTATCTGTGAGAGAGTTCTTTGTTTCCTCTGAGTCTAGGATAGATACACACATTTTATAGCCAAATATCAACATAGGAGAAGTAGGAATCTCCTCAGGTTAGTTTTCTGGGTGGACACCTGACCATCTGAAGGTCCACCTGTGAGCCCCTGTACTATCTGTACATTTCTCTACATTCATTTCTATGCTTGTCTCTCACCATAATATCTGATATTTTTGTAAAAAGAAAATGATGTTGTATCAGAAGGAGGTTTTCTTGGGGGTATAGGTAAATAGACCATCTCTGACTCTGTCTCTTCAGTTGTAAAACAGATTCGGATGCGGGCTTCTTTTCTTTCTTTCCCTATTAAATCTCTGCCAACACTTCACTGTCAACGCTATTAAGTTAGTGAGTAATGAAATCTTCAATGTGACAAACCTGATCCATCTGTGAGAATCCTAAAGGGAATTATCTGTTAGTCTCAATTAAACCATTTCCCAGGACAAATTTTTCTATTTCTCTGCCAACTCATATAGAAATGACAATTGTGGGATATTCCCATATGAATGTATAGATCAGTTTAATACTGTAATTCTCAATTTCTGAGGTTCTTCCTATAAAAGAAGTACTGAGACTTTTCATTATTTATTGCATACACATGCATATATACTTCAAATAGCTAACATATCCCAAACAAAGCTCAGAGGTTTTGAGTTTTGTTTCAAAGTTATTCAAAGTTAGCCATAGGCAACTAGAGATAGCATTTTAAAATGCCAAAACAGATAAATTTTCATTTGCACCTGGTGTTATTCATGGAAAGAAACATTAAACCAATGAAATAATTATGAACATGAAGTGTGAAAAGGATAAACTAATCATTAGTTTGGATGGTAGATGAAAAATGGAGGGAACAGAAACAGACATTTCTAAACTGCATAAAGTAAATCTTCATTATGATATATCTAAAATTATAAATATTATAAAAACTGGTTCATAGTTTCAGTGTGTATAAGAAGTTTCAACCAAAGATGCTATATTAGTAATCTTTAGTCGAGGACTTCTCTTCTTTCGCTTCACTAAACAGAGCAAGAGTCTACAGATTTTATTTTTCAAGGCCTTCTCTGAAAAGTCCTCTCACAGACCAAATTGCACAGAGTTTAAATAACCCAAGAGAAAGGTGAAACAAGGCTTATATATCTTAAACAGCTGACTCCTATAACCCTTACATTCCTTCAAACTGTTCAACAGTATTCTCTTGGGTTATAGGTTTACTATAATATTAATACAAAGTAATATATATATATATAAATTGCCTACCTTCATGAATTTATATCTTATCATAAAAATCAAAAACACATATTAAAGCACACTGAAGAGCTAAAAATATTATAGATATTAAAAAGAATACTAGACCAGACTCTATTAGCTATTTTTTTCAACACAAATATATCACTGCTGTTTAAGACTTGTTTAGTATCAAGCATCGGCCAAAGTAGAAAAAAATAAACTCAGAAACCTCTTAAAACCAAATCAGAGATTTAGAGAAAACACTTTGGGACTCTTAAATACATTTAGTCCCCAAATCAGGGGAAATATTTGCAAGCCTAGTTTTAGAGGCGATCCTAATCTAAGAATTAGTAGACTCTAATCTACCAATTTAGGAAAAGCATCGTTGTATATGCTTACTATCATTTGAATGTGTCTCTGTCTGGCCCACTAGGAAGGAAGCCTCTTAAGAACAGGGGAAGTGTCTTAATCACTTTTTTAGCCAAAGAACCCACAGAGTGCCTGTGGTATAAGGCACCTAATAAAGACTGTTTCAATGAATGAATGAATAAACAATGCATTACAGAACTGCATAGAGTATCTCCATTGCCTTTTCCTAAGCCCTACTGTACTCCAGATGAAGAAATGTCTTTCTGGGTATTCTCCAAGCAAGAGATCTCAAAATAAATAGGTCTCTGAACGAAAAACTTGAAAAGATACTCAACATGTCTTCCTTATGAAGTTGAAAATTAGGAAAAGGAATTTAAAATAAGGAGAAGATGTAGATTTCAGTAAAATTCAAAGTTCATATGGTCTTAAAATGTGAAATACATAACCACTCCCATCCAGAATCTTTTGTAGGAAATGAATGCAAACATGGGTGATATTTTAAGGACACTTTAAGGCAAGAAAAGCTTTAACATCAGTAGCAAGATAGAATGGCATTGTTTGAATTATTTATCCAGTTGCATTTAAAGCACAACAGATATTGCTTAACTACTACATTTATCAAGTTTAAGTCAAATAAAATATATCATATGGACCCATATAGCCCAATGCACAATAAAAAACACAAAAAGGAGAAACTTTAAACACAAATCTGACCACAGTAATTGCCTTCCCATTTCCCAAGCACGGATTCTCTTTTTCGGGTTCAATTCCAACTACTCTCCCCAGCACAAAGCGCCTTTCCGCGGGGCCCATTGGGGCCAAAAGCCTTTCCAGAGACCTAAATCTTATTTAGCAGTCACTTCCACAGCCATTCCCAACTTGAGGGAATCCCTTCCAATGAGATTAACTCTAAGAATTTAGTCAGTCCCTGCAGCCCACTTAGGAAAAAAGGTGGGAGAACGATGATTAAGAAAGACAGCCCTCATCAAAGCGAAACCCAACTCCATTCTCCGGGTGTACCTACACCCCTTTCTTTCCTCCAGTTCTGGGCGCTGGACAGAGGGAAGGGGTGAGTACGTCTCGTAGGAGGGGGATGCAACTAACTTTCCTCCACCACCTCATTCCCACCCACCCCCCACCCAAAATCCGGTCCAACTGGACCACCAGGCGAGGCTGCCTGCACACTCCCCCCCCCACGCCCCAGATGGACGGGATGGGAGGGTGGGGGGCGCGCGTGGGCGGGATGGAGGTAGGGGTGCTCTGAACTGCAACTCTGCTTACCACTGGAGCGCCTGACGATGTTCTCCAAAAATGTGTTCTGCGGTGCCACCAGCCCTCTCTTGCCCCCCGGCATCCTGGGTCTGGAGGGCAGCGGCCAGGATCCGCGGCGGGGGAGGGGGGGATACAGGAAGAGAAGGTGGAGGAAGAAGAGGAAAAGGTGGAGAAGACTGAGCCGAAAGAAGAGGGGAAGCGGCGGCGGCGACGGGGTCCCCTGACTGTGTCTCCAGCCCGACCCGGATGAGCAGCTCTGGGGAGGAGGACCAGGCAGTTCATGGTAGTAGCGCTCCCCCGGCCGCCGCTGCCCAGACTGTGGCGGTGCCGCACACGGGGCTCGGGAACTGCAGGCTCCGCGGGGCACAGTGCGCCTGCGCCGCCCCCGCTGTCGCTGTCCCGCCGGTGCCGCTGATGCTGAGGCTGCTGCTGAGGCGGCCACCGCGGCGGCGGGCGCCTGGGCAAGGGCTCCGCATGTCCCCCCTGCCCCGCGCCGGGAGCCGGGGGAGCGAAAGCGCGAACTCCAGCCCCTCTCCCCTCGTCCCCGCAGCTCAGCCCAAGACCCCTTTCGTGCGCCCTCCTGTCGGGTCTCCAAGCCCACCCCTCCCGCGCAGCTAGATCGCAGCTGCCAGCGCAGCCCAACTTCTGGTGGTCGCTCCTCTCTCCGGGAGATCCAGGCGAGCGCTCGCCGTCCACTCCGGGCCGTGGAGCCGCAGAGGCGGTACCGGAGAAGGCAGTGGGAGGTCCGAGGGTCACATCTCAGCTTCTCCCGCCCGGGTCCCGAGCCCGGACTGCTGGCGCGGACGCGGCTCCCAGGCGGA